GAGATGAGTGTGGGAATCTTTGGTGTGAAGCTGCAGCAATAGATTCAGCTGCCTAGGAAGAATTTCTAGAACAGATCGTACAAGTTGGGGGCTAAATTTTAATTTGGCCCTCAGATGTATTTTTTTTTTTGGAGGGTTGCCACCACTTTTTTTTTTAAGTGAGGGCCAACAACAAATTCTGAGATTTTACATTAAAATCTGGACTCTGGCTTCTTCTGAAAAATGAGATCATCTAATAACACTTCTGCTACCTTTCTGCACGGCAGCATTGCCTGGAGCTGAATGGTGGCTGCCCCCATTAGATAGGGCACTTGTGTTCTTCAGTTTGCCACAGTCCCATTGCTCCCTATGGTTTCCACACTGTGATTCTAGTCCGCTTCACTTACTTGCCTTCCATACTTGGCACCTGTAGGTAGGCTTTTGAATTTGTGAATGAAATGTGCAGAGGGCCTAATAGAAGCCCTAAGGGGGAGGTAGGGGAGGAGGAGCCAGCAAAGAAGACCAAAGAGCAACCAGAGAGGTAGGAGAAAAGCCAGGAGGATTATTGTTCAGAGGAGGGAACGTGGACCAGCTGAGCCTCGTGCTGCTGACTTGGTCTGATGCGATAAGGACCAGTTGTTTGGTCTAGTCAGGGGGAGGTGGTTGGTAACCTTGCTGAGAGCCACTGCATTCTCAGGGTGCTGGGTGGAAGGGAGGTTGTGAGACATTGAGGATTGAGTGGAGGAAATGGGGACAGAGTTGGGAACTTGTTCAAGAAGCTTGGCTTTGATGGACAACTTGTTGTGTTGAGAAATAGCATATTAACCTGGCATGTTGATTTAGCTTGAATATTTGGGAAGAACCAATACTTTTATATTAAAACAAACATTAGATATGCTATGGAGTAGTGAGGCCTCTGAGAGAGGAATAGAGAGAGGAGACTGAATATTGAGTGTTATCTCTTTGCCAGGCACTGTGCTGATCACTTTACATTCATTATCTCATGTAGTTCTCACAATAACCCTATGAAGTAGGTATCTAGAATGTTCCTCATTTTGTAGAAGAGCAAACCGAGACTTGAGACAAAGTTTGCGTGGTTGGTAAGTGGCAGAGCTGGTGTTTGATTATGGTTGTCACACTGAATGTATGATCAAATGCTTTTCTTCCCCTCATTTCCCATATCAGATTATACCAGGAGTATTTGTTGAAAACACTTTTCTTTCTGCATTGAACTGCTGCGACACTCTTGTCAAAAATCAGTTGGCCATATATGTGTGGGTCTATTTTTGGACCCTTCCTGTTCTATCGATTTGTACATCTCTCTCTTTTTAAACAATAGCACACTGCCTGAATTACGATAGCTTTATTGTAAGTCTTGAAAGACCATAATTTAACTCTTCCATCTTTGCTCTTTTCAAAAATTGCCTTGGCTACTCTAGATCATTCGCACATCCATGCATTTCAGAATTATCCTCTCAATTTCTGTGAAAAGGCCTGCTGGGATTTTGTTTGGGGTTGTGTTGACTATTACAAGACTTCTTCAAAAAGGAATTACTGAGGCTTAGGTATCATTTCATGTAGGTATTGAAGGAAAGTCCACCAAAGTGTGTGACTGTTGGCCAACGGTTGCTAACTCAAGGCCCAGGGTGAAGCAGGTAAGAAAAATGAGTGGCGGGGCCAGGAATGAGATGATACACAGTAGCTGATCTCAGGCTAGTGGAGGAATAACAGGGTATGGCGAGGACTTGGGCAAACAGGAGATCCCCAGCCCTGTCTAAGGGGCAGTCACTTCTCAGCTCCATGCGTTGTTGCCATGCACGAATATGGGTTCCGTGTTTGTCTGATCTTTCAATCAAGAAAAGATGGAAATCCAGATTTTTATGCAGTTTTGCAATTTTAAAATTTAAAACATTGAGTAGGTCAGTACCATGTGGGTCAGACAGAACTCTCCAGGCTAAACGTGGCCTACGGCCTGCCAGTTCGTGACCTCTGCTTCAGGCTAATCATTCTTTGGTCCTCATTTTCCTCATCGGTAAGCATGACGGTGTTGAAGACAGTCTTTCAGTTTCTTTCTAGCTCAGTGGTTCTAAATTTCAAAGGGGAAATTGTCCAAATTACTCAAGGGTTTAAGAGGTAGTTGAGGATATCAGCAATAATGATAATATTTTGAGAAGTTGTCCAGACCCTTATAGTTCACATGCCACTGTCATGTCTGTTCTCTGTTTTAATCCTCACATTATCTTTGTGAAGTAGACAGCAGAATAATTTGCCCACCTACACGGGCGATCCAGGTTACAAAGTCAAGTATCCACATTCCAAATCCAGTGCTGTTTTTACCCTAGGGCAGCAGTCTCTGAAGGCTCTGGAAACAGGCACTTTGGAAGGGAGAGCAGATCTGGGAGACCTTAAGCTCAGTTGAAGGCAGGTCTCTAGCTAGATTTAGAACTGAGTTTGGTTGAAGTGTCAAGGCTCTTGGGTAAGAATTGAAGCCTTTGTGAGAACTCCCTGAAGGTAGGAACTTTGGCACATATTCATCTCAATAAGCCAGTGCCTGGCACGGTACCTGACACACAGTTAAAAGGCTTTAGGTCAAGGGGGCTGAGAATTTTGTCTAGAGAATTTCAAAGGTAGATACTCCAGTGCTTCTGGTTGAGAATGTTAAGATCAAAAGCTGATCTTTATACTTATAACTTAGCTGATAGATGGGAAAGTCTCACCATGGCCTTCTTCTCATATTTGACTCTCAGATCTGGGTTTTGATGAATAGATTATAACTGTTTCCCAGTACAGTATGTTTGAGAAATCAAATACGGTGGGTATAAGGAAGTTAAGGCAGTCAAAGGGTTTTATATGCCTTTCAAACTTCCAAATGTATATAAGACCTTATCTTTGCTTTGTTTTTTTTTGTATGTATATTTTTATTGAAGTATAGTCAGTTTACAATGTCATGTCAGTTTCTGGTGTACAGCATAATGCTGCAGTCATACATGAACTTACATATATTTGTTTTCATATTCTTTTTCACCATAAGTTGCTACAAGATATTGAATGTAGTTCCCTGTGCTATACAGTGTGAACTTTTTACTCATCGGATTTTATGAGAATCCTCCTGTATTTTGAAGTGAGAGACACTCTGCCAGAGTTCAGTAGGTGTTCTGTGCAATTCAGTGGGCTTGTTGATGTAATTGTTGGTGTATTTGTGGGAGAGGGTGAGCTGTGAGTCTCTCTACTCTCCCATCTTGGCTTATCCCCTCCAAGACAAGGATAGTCAAATGCTTCTGGTTGAGAATGTTAAGATCAAAAGCTGATATTTATACTTATAACTTAGCTGACAGATGGGAAAGGCTCACCATGGCCTTCTTCTCATATTTGATTCTCAGATCTGGGTTTTGATGAATAGATTATAACCATTCCCCAGTGCAGTATGTTTGAAAAATCAAATACTGTGGGTATAAGGAAGTTAAGGCACCCAAAGGGTTTTATATGCCTTTCAAACTTCCAAACAGATACAAGACCTTATTTTTGGAGATGCATATTGAAAAATGGAACAGTAATCTGAATTTCTTTCAGTGGAATGCTGTGGGTAGTGGAGAGGGTAAAGATGAATCAAGATTGGACATAAGTTAATCATTGTTGGAGCTGGAAGGTGAATAGATGGGGTTTCATTATATTAATCTCTATTTTGAATGTATTTGAAAGTTTTCGTAATAAATGTAAAAACAGAACAAAATCACAGTGCTTCCTAGGCTCAGCGATGCTTTTCATCAACCAAACTTCACTTTTCTTTGAGCTTGTAAAAAGTATGATCGTGGAGGGAGAAATGGAACAAAGGAAAGGAACATGGCAGAAACAAGAAAGTGGGTTCCGTGTCAGCTGTAGCTCAGCCTCCTTTAGCTGTGTGACCTTGGGCCAGTCTCTGAGCTTCCCTAAGTCTGGATCTGCAGGTCTGTAAAAGCAGGATCATGTGGTCTCCCTCAGTTGGTGAGAGGGCCAGGGATAAAGTGGGCAAAGCATCTAGCTCACCTTAGGGGCTCATGTCTAGTAATTTTTATTACTATTAGACAAAGACAGAGAGTAATGAAAGGGTAAAGTCTGCCTCAGGGTTCCCGTCTGTCCTTTCTTCCCTACATGAATTACAAGTGCCAAGGGTTATATAACCACAGAGGTAATTTATTATTTTAGAAACAGAACTCTTAAAGACTAAATTGGACCACTCTGGGGTTTACAAGAACTGTAACCAGTTTGCAGCCTTTTGAAAAATGAAGCAAGAAAGAACTTACAGAAGAAAACATATTAAAACAGTGGGATACCATTTAATACCTGTTGAATTGGCCTTCTTCTTTACCCCAATTAATGACAACATCCATTGTTAGTGAGTTTTTGGTGAAACTGTTTTCTCATACATACGTTGGTATACCCTCTGGGGAAGCGTTTTGGCAGTGTGTATTGAGAAGCCATCAGAAGGCCCAAACCCAGAGGCCAGTAATCACTCTTTGGAACATGTTCTAAGGAAATAATTCAGAAGGAGAAATGTTATGTAGCCATTTAAAATGATTATGTAATATCATAGAAGAGAATTATGAGGTAAGCATGCAAGATTGGATCTATGTTCTGATCACCACTATGCAGATACCACACAGAAATGTAAATGGAGACTGGAAAAGAGCATGGAGAAGGGAAGCAGTCACTGTATTAGAGTCATGGACAGTGGCTTAGTTTTATTAAAGAAGTCTTTTTATCGCTGTTAAAGATTGTGCCTGCTCACCTACGCACACGTGCATTCAAAGATGGTGCAAGAGTGCCTCACTGTCATGGCTGGGACATTTAGAACATGGGTATATTCATTCCAGAAATAGACTAATCAAAACCCAGAAAGCACTGGAAGCGTAAAGGTTTTAAGTAGAGAAGAAATTGAAACAAAGACTTTCACTCTTGAACCATCTCACTACGAAAACACTGTACTTCGATGCTTCTGTTCCATCTTTGCTGTCTTCTCTCAACAGCCTTGAAATCTCTTTGTCCCCAGGTTCAATTTCAGAAGCTTCAGCAACTGCGCCTTACACAGTACCACGGAGGGTCCTTACCCAATGTGAGCCAGCTGCGGAGCAGTGCCTCGGAGTTTCAGGTACGTCAGATACTTCCTTCAAGCTGAGTGGAGTGTAAAAAAGATAGGCAGACATTTTCCTGGAAAAGATTAAATCTCAAAGGCTAAACTGGGCTTAGACACAGTTCAGCTTAAGATAGTGTTATTACACGAACGGTCTAAGGCAGCACTGTCCGCTGGAAATATAACGTGAGCCACACATACAATCTGAACTTTTCTGTAGCCACATTAAAGAAAAAGAGACTGGTGTAACTAACTTTAAAACTGTATAAATAATTTAAAGAATTATGTGACCCAATATGTCCAAAATACTAATATTTCAACATATAATCAGTATTAAAAAACCTAATGAGATATCTCACATTCTTTTTTTTTTTCGTATTAAGTCTTTGGAACACACACTTAAAGCACATCTTACTTGGTAGCAGCCATGTTTCACTACCTTCATGTGGCTAGTTTCTACCACGCTGGACAGTGCAGATCTAAGTCGTAGATTGTATTGCATTCAGATTAGTGCAGTATCATAGGATGCTTTAATTATTCATATTAGTGAAGAGCCTAGTTCAAGAAAACAGTGTGGAATTGGTGATTCAGACAATGGTTGTTTGTTTTTTGTGTGTGTGACAATGGTTGTCAAGTTCTGAATTAAATTTAGGTATACAGTTTCTGAAAAATTAGAAGCCTGACTTTCTAATTACACAATTTAAGATCTGGTGTTAAATTTGAGATACAAACTTGAAGATGAAGCATAGCTTTATTCATTTGGATGCCTCTTCACTTTAAAACTACTGTCTTCTTTCTTAGTTGTGAAATCTGGTTCACTTGTTTGATGATGTCCTGTAAAATAAAAGTATTATTTAAATGGAGATTTCCATTTGAGAGTGTTGATAGGAACTCTTAAACATAAAGTGATTAGAAAAAGTACTGTATGAACATGTTTGTGCCTTATTACTCTAGAATTTTGTCTTTAATATAATGACACTGAAATCTCACTGCCTAATTAGAATAATACTGCTTATTAGAATAATTGCTATATAATAATTAGGATAATGCTGCCTATGTTAGACACCTACCTCTGTAGATCGAACAATCTTACATTTTGGCCTATTGGGTCATTCAGTATCCAAATAAAGTAGATCTCTGCTTTTTGCTGGCTTTCATGCTTCAGAAAACAGAACGTTGTCAGGATATGCTGTTTGAGATCCCGATTTTGTGGTACTTTACTGGTCAACTTTAGAGGAATATAGAATTTACTATCATGTCCCTTTCTTTGGGATGAAGTGATAGCCATCGATCTTCCCAGGAGTCTTTCTTTGGGTACTTTTTAAACTTTGAAACAATCACAAACTTACAGAAAAGTTGGAAGCACAGTAAAAATAACTGTTTTTTTCCTCCTGAGAATAGACTGCTGACCTGCCCTGTCAACCCCAAATACGTCACCGTGTATTTCCTACAAGCGAGGACGTTGTTGTACGTCACCTAGATAGAGCCAACAAAATCAGGAAAATTAACAGCAGTGCATTATTACCATTTGACCCTGAGACCCCTTTCAGGTCTCACCCATGTCCCATTACTGTCCTCTATAGCAAAAGGATCTGGTGAGAACACCTACACTGTCTTTAGTCTCCTTCAGTCTGGAACAATTTTTCAATCTTATTTTTGACATTAAAAAATTACTTTTGACTTTTGTGACCTTGCCCCCTCTGAAGATCACAGACCAGTTATTTTGTAGAATATCCCTCTGTTGGGGTTTGTCTGATGTTTCTTCATGGTTTAGATTGTGCATCTTTGGCAGGAATAGCCAGAAGTGATGCTGTTATCCAGTCCCACTAAGCGGGTGATTTTTCATTTTCATGATGTTCACTTTTATCACTTAATTAAGGTGGTGTCTGTTTGTCTTCTCCACTCTAAAGTCTTTGTAATCAATAAATATTTTGTGAGAAGATACTTTATCCTGATTCTCATCAGACTTTCAATTTGTACATTTATTTATTTCTCTCTATGAAGTTTTGTGATTTCTTAATTCATGTAATAGGTTATACTCTTATTGTTGTTTTGATCCTTGCATTATCCCTGACTAGGCCAGTAGGAGTCCCCTTCCCAGAATTCTCATCAAACTGAAAAGAAAAAAGGGGGGGGGGGGAGATCCCAGAAGCATAGATTTTTTTTTTTAATAAATGTTTTTAAGGTATAGTTTACATAAAGTACAATTTACCTGTTTTAGATTTACAGTTTTGTGTTGTGTAATTACCACCACAATCAAGATACAGAACAGTTTCATCATCCCTGCAAAATTCCCTTTGTAATCTATTTTCACCCCCCATCTCCGGCCACTGATCTGTAGTTTTGCCTTTTCCAGTGTGTCCTATAAATGGAATCAAAAGTATGTAGTCTTTTGAGTTCTTGTTTCACTTAGCATACTGCATTTGATCATCATGCCTTGCTGTGGCATGGATGAGTTTCCTAGGGCTCCCCTAACAGCACCACAAACTGAGTGGTGGCTAAGACAAGAGGGAGTTTATTCTCTCACAGTTCTGGGCTCGAAGTCTGAAATCAGGGTGTTAGTAGAGCTACGCTCTCTGGAGACTCCAGGGAAGAATCCTTCCTTGTCTCTTCCTAGCTTCTGTTGGCTGCCGCCAGTCCTTGGTGTCCCTTGGCTTGTAGCTGCATCACATCTGCAAAGATATCTTCCCAAATAAAATCACATTCATAGGTTCTTGGGGTTAGGACTTGAACATATCTTTTTGGGGGAACATGATCCAATCCAGTACACTGTATTTATCAGTAGTTCATTCTTTTCATTGCTGAGTAGTATTCCATTGTATGGAGGTACTTTAATTTGTTTATCCATTCATCAGTTGATGAGCATTTGGATTGCTTCCACCTTTTGGCAATTGTGAATGAAGATATTCACGTTCAGTTTTTGTGTAAACACCTGGTAGTGGAACTGCTGGATCATGTGGTAAGTGTATATTTAGCTCTGTAAGAGACTGCCAAACTGTTTTACAAAGTGGGTATACCATTTCGCATTCCCACCAGCAGTCTATGAGAGTTCCAGTGAATCTGCACTCTCTCTCCAGCACTTGGTATTTCAGTCTTTTTTAATTGTAAAATTAACACAACATAAAATTTATCACCTTAACCATTTTAAGTGTACATTTCAGTAGTGTTAAGTATATTCACATTGTTGTGCAACCAGTCTCCTGAACTTCTTCATCTTATAAAACTGAAACTCTATACCCATTAAACAACAACTCTCTATTTTCTCTTCCCCCGGCCCCTAGCAACCAATATTTTACTTTCTGTGTCAATGAATTTGACTCCTCTAGGTACCTCATGTGAGTGGAGTCACACAATACTTGTCTTTTTGTGAGTGGCTTATTTCACTTAGCATGATGTCCTCAAGGCTCATCCATATTATAGCGTGTGACAGGATATCCTTCCTGTTTAAGGCTGAATAATACTTCATTGTACATATGTGCCACATTTTGTTTATCCATTCATCCATTGATGGGCACTTGGGTTACTTCCATCTCTTGGCTATTGTGAATAATGCTGCTATGAACATGGGTGTGCAAATGTCTCTTTGAAATCCTGCTTTCAGTTCTTTTTGATACATACCCAGAATTGGGATTGCTGGATCATATGGTAATTCTATTTGAGGAGCCCCCATTCTGTTTCCTACAGTGGCTGCACCATTTTACATCCCTACCAACGGTGTACGGGGGTTCTAATTCCTCCACATTGTTGACTCAGCTTACTGTCTTCTACAAAAAGGCCTGCTGGGATTTTAAATGAGGTTGCATTGAATCTGTAATCAGGTTGGGGAGAACTGATGTCTTAATAGTACTGAGTCTTCTAATCCATGAATATGGTACAGAAGCACAGATTTTGATTCAAGTTAAGTTGCTGATCATTATTTAAACACAATCCTCTCTCTTTTATGTTTATAGATCATTTTGGAGTTTACAAAATGTTTTCATATTTATTATTCGACTTAATCTTTAATACATTCATTGGTGAGCATAGCACTATTAATGCATAATCACTATTTAATATTGGTTGAAGACCAATTTTCTATCCTAGTAGAGAATCTAAAAGCACATTCTTTCCTCTAACCCCTTGGGCCTTTATTCAGAGAACACAAACTTATCAGATGAGTAAACCAAAGTAAGTTTTCAGACTGCCTTCTGGTAATCCTTAGCAAGGGACAGGTCATCGGTCAGGGGTGGCTAGAGTAAGAGCCCTCCTATTTCTAGGCAGGGCCTGGCACATGTGCTTTGAAAGCAGAGAGAGGAAGTGGGCATTATCGTCTCCTCTCAGGGCTAGGGCTGTGTCTTCTGGTTAGGGGAGGGCTAACTGTTCTCTAGCACGTTCCAGCGTGTGTGACAGCTAGGGCACCTGATTGTCGGCAGCCACAGTGAGAGGGACAGAGGGCATCATTTTGTATAGGGATACCGGGGTACAGTTGTAGCCTTTCATAGCCTTCACCTAACCCACCTGGTCCTTTCAAATTATGTCACTAAAAACTAAGCACACTTTGTACATTTCTGACTACAATGTTTTAACAAAATTGCTTCATCTTATTTATAGCTGAGGGTTTACAAGTTCTAACTAATTTAGGGAACAGTTTGGTGGCCAAAGGGAGAAAGTCCTGTTCCAAGGCAGCAAAGACTGGATGGCCGGATCCAGAATGGTGATTCTTCTGAGACCTACCACCAATGCACATGGGTCTAGAGAGGCCCGGAGTTTGCACAGCAAGTATGTAAGAGAAGCAGAACTTAAAAATCGAGTCTTTGACTCCTAATTCGATTTTAATGGCTTTCCTTTGCTGCATTTCCTTTAAAATTTTTATAAGATTCTTTAAAAAATGGTTGGCAACCGGTATATCAGTTAAATTCAAGCAAATGGAAAATATAAGTAGCAATATTAACCTCAAAATACTACAACTAATAATAGCCCACATTTATTGTGTATATGCTGTGTGCCAAGCACTGCATTCAGCTCTATACAGAGATTTT